CTGGGTGGGTGGTGTCCTGGCCCGCCACTGAGCCCTGCCCTGCAGCGGCCCTGGACGGTGCCCAACTGTGGGTGCATGGTGCTTGTCACGGCGTGGCCCCAGCCCTGGTGCACTCCTGCCTCGGGCTGGTGCCTTGGCACCCTCGGCCCCTGCCCGAGAGCCCCAGGGTTTCCCAGCTGCTCCCCCCAGGGACATCCCCTCAGTCCAGCCCTGCGGCCACCCGGTGAGCCCCCTCCACAGCCAGCCCTGTCCCTCTGCAGGTGAGTGAGCAGTTTGCCCGCTACCTCGATGGGAAGATCCAGGAGCTCTATGGGGCTGCTGGCAGTGCAGGGCCGCTGGAGCAGATCCTGGAGCCCTTCGTTGTCTTCAGTGGCCTGGAGCTCGCCCACACCTTCGAGCACTTCTACCGGTGAGGGGTGCCAGTCTCCACAGGACCAGAGGGCCTGGTGTGGCATGGTGTGGTGTAGCGGGGGAGGTGCAGGCGGCGCTGAGGCCGTGGCTGAGCCTGGCCTGGTGTGGCAGTGGTGCTCCCGCTTTGCTTTTCCCGGCTCTGGAGGAAGGCTGTGAGGACCTGTGGGCGCTGCCGGTCTGCAGAGGCACATTCTCTGCTGGTGACAGGGAGGGGAGACAGGTGCTGCTGGGCCCATGTGCCTTGGGGTGAGGCTGGGGCCATCTCTGTCTCCTGGTGGGTGGCTGATGGCCACGGGGCTCAGGCCAGTCCCTGACCTGAGGCTGGCGGCTGTGGCAGGCACTACCTGGGGGACCGGCTCCTGGCGCAAGGGCCGTCTTGGCTGGAAGGAGCCATCGTGGAGCAGATCGGGCTGTGCTTCCCCAGCCGCTTCCCCCAAGAGATGCTGAGCAACTTGGCTGAGTCAGAGGAGCTCCAGCAGCAGTTTTACCTCTTCCAGCTGCAGGAGCAGGACAAGCAGCTGCTGGAGCTGGACACGGGCCTGGATGAGGTGAGCGTGCTGGTGGGGTGGGGAAGCTGGGGGCCACCCGCGTTCCTTACAGGGATCCTGGGGCCTGTCCTGAGCTGTCCTCGTGTTCGCGTGCCCAGGCACTGGGGACGGCCTCGGTGGCAGATGTGCCGGAGGTGAAGGTGCTGGCCCTGTCCCCGCGCTGCTGGCCCATTTCCCCGTTCTGCTACATGGATGAACCTGGGAGGTTTTTCTCGGCGGCCCTGAGCTCCCCCCTGGATGAGTTTGCCAACTTCTGCAGGCGGAGTGAGTGTCGTGGCAGTGGGTGTGCGTGGGGGGTCTCGCCGGGGCCTAGGCCCTCCACAGCAGCTCAGCCAGAAGTGGCAGGAGTGCTGGGGTGTGCTGGGAGTGCCCGGCAGGGCTGGCTCCTGGCCCTTGTGCTGATGCTGTCTCTGGCAGGCCCGGGCCAGCTGGGCTGGGAGTGCACGAAGCCCCGGCGGTTGCAGTGGACGTGGCTGGGCCATGCCGAACTGCAGTTTGGCGACTGCGTCCTCCATGTGTCCACGCTGCAGATGTACATCCTGCTGTGCTTCAACAGCACCAAGGTAGGAGCCGGGACCCCGGTGGGGTGAGGGAGGCAGCAGGTGCTGGAGCGTAGCAGGGCCGTGTCCTCCCTTCCGGTGGGGTCTCCAGTGGTGTTTGGGGCGCAAGCCCCCCCCTTGTTTGGCTGGGCCTGCAGCTGGTGGGTCTTGGCTGGCCATTCTCCTCCCATGCCCTCCTGCAGGAGGTAGCTGTGGAGGCCCTGCTGCAGGCTACGGGGCTCCCTGCTGACCTGGTGCACCACGCCCTGACACCGCTGACCCACGGTGAGGGCGTCCTGGTGTGGAGCTGCACGCCGAGAGGTGAGTGTGGGGCTGGGGCACCCCTGGGGAGGTGCTGGTCTGAGTCTCAAGCGGGTGCTGGGGTAGGGGTGCTTGTAGGGGAGGTGAGTGGGCTGGGGTGTGTCTGTTGGTGCTTAGAGCGCAGGTCTGTGTGTCAAGTTGGGGCCTGAGGCCGTGTGTGGGGCTGGGGCGTGGGGCTGTGCATGGGGCGTGGGTCAGCGTGGGTGGTTGGATCTCAGGCCTGGGGGGAGGACTGGGGACCGGGGCTAGGGGTTGTGTGTGTGGCTGTTGCTTGGGGCCAAGTGTGGGGGACAGGGATGGGGCTGACACCAGTGAAGGCAGCAGTGGGAGGCCCAGGGTTGGGTCCAACAGCCACACGTGTGTCCTGGGGCTCCTTCAGGGCCCAGCTCGGGGCTTGGCTGACCCTGGGCCGGGTGCTAGCTCCAGGTGTGCTGCGGCTGAACCAGGCAGCCCTGGCCCATGCCTCTGGCCGCCACCTGAGGCTGCTGCCCCAGCAGAGGTACCTGCAGGCGGAGAGGGCTGAGGTCAGCGCGCTGGAAAGGAAGAGGAACATTCTCTGCTGCCTCATCACCCGCATCCTCAAGGTGGAGAAGCAGCTCCACGTTGACAACCTGGTGTTTAAGGTATGGAGGGCTTGAGGGGCAGAGAGGGGCCGTCTGGGTGCTGCACTGCACTGCAATGTGGGGCTCCCTTGCTGCTGTAGGTGATTGATGCCTGCCAGAAGGGTGAATTGGGTCCAGGGCTGCAGTTCCTGAGCTTCTGCTGCCACAGTGTGGATGTGCTGTCCTGTGTCCTGCACCTGTTGAACCAGGGCTATCTCCGGCGCCAGGAGGAGAGGCCTCATGTCTTGGAATA